TCAACTTTCAAAATGTTGGCCATCAAGCCCCAAAACAATATTTTTCTCACACAAAAACCCTTACTTAAATGCTAAAATAGCACAAAATTTTGGGGTATTACAACTATCAAGGTGGTTTGTGCATGGATTTTGGTTTCGTTTTTGAGATGTTAAGAGGTTTTGTGTTGCCGGTTTTTAGACAAGCAAGAAGATGGATGGAGGGCTTGGCAGAGTTGGTTGTTGCAATAAGGATTTGGTCATCCTTGTCAACTAAAAAAGAGTGAGGGCTATCTATGGAGGCCCCATGGGGGTCTTCCCACGTTGGTTCTTGGTCCAAGTTTCTTTAATTTCCTACCTAGGGGCTATGGCTACGGTAGAAGATAGCACTAGTGATCTAGGTGTGTTTCCTTGTATGATCGTGTCAAGGTGGAAGGAGACTAGTTTATGGCGTCATGGATGGAGGAGTTGCAAACCAGTGTCACTTAGTTTGGAGGATGGCTAACGTTGGTGTGGCGACGGCAATACATGAGGGATATCGAAGGTGGTGTAATGGGTAGCATGGTTGTCAAGATCACGATCTTAATCGTAAAATCACATGATCTTACGATGTTAGATAGTTTCAGCAATCTAAATCAGACAAAAATCGTGGACATTGAAAAATCGATTGAAGATTGTGCATAAAATTGTGAGAACATGTGACCTTAAACAATTTTAGAAACTAAATTCTTCTGGGATTATGGATGATAATTAAAAATTTTAAAAGTAGTTGTTCATTTTCTCTAGTTACGGCAAAATCTCCATCTCTAGAACTTCATCATTGCCACTGGTTTTCCGTTGCTGTTGGTGCTACCTGCGTCGCCGGTTACTCTTGCTACTACGTGCCTGATATGACCTGCCAAGTTAACTTTTTTATTATAAAATTACTGTTTATATAATAATTTTACATAATTAATTTTTTAAACTTTTTTTATTTCTTTTAATTCTTTTATTTTTTTGAATTCACTTTTATTTTTTATATTAATAATTACAATTATTATTAACGATTATTTATATTTTTATTGTCTTTTTTCTTTGTTTGCAGACTTAAGTATTAAATTATATTATGAATTATTAAGTATTTTGTATTTAAACTTTTAAACATTTTATTTTATACTTATTTTATCAATAAACAACCGTAATAATTTATTTTAAGATATTTATATAATTTATATTTATTTTGATTAATTATATAAATACACAAATTTAATTTACTAGGATCTTACAATTCTATTTGCGATCTTACAATTTATAATCCCATCTTGTACTTTCGATCTTAGATAAAATCTGGATTTTAACAACCTAGATGGTGTGGTGACATTGGATGATATTAATGGGGATTTTTTTGCTAATAATTTGAGATGTGCGCTGTAGGAGGTGATGGGTATGGAAAGAAAGATCAAGGAAAATGGGAAAAAATTAGGAGTATTACCATGATTTTAATTGGTGGTAGAATTATACTAAATTTTAATGAACCTATATATATGGAAAGAAAGGGAGCACAAATAGGCATTTCCTTCCCATGGGATTTGGCAGGGAGAGTTTGCTAATTGATGGGTTTCTATCCACCAACTAAGAAGGTTGTAAAATCATGTCTAAGCGCTATGTGATGTCTTTTCATGTTGCATCAGCCTCTAGTGAAGATTTATGCAGTTTGAATTGCTCAGCTTGCTTGAGCGCACCTAGGCACTATTAGGCACACTTAATTGTGTTTAAAGCACTCAAGAAATTTTTTTCTTTCCTTCCAAACTAATAAAACGACATTTTTGTAATCATAAAAAATATATTAAAAAAGCCCTAAATTCCTTTTTATTCCTATGTTTTGCCCATCTTCACTTTGTCTTCTTCCTGTTTCCTTCCTTGAGGCTCTTCATTTTCCAATTCCAAACGCAAATCCAAAATTCCAAACCCAAATCCACTTCCATCTATGCATATAAACACAAAACAACACCCAAATACTAATTTAGTTCCTTTTTTCTTCTTGCTGTCTTTCTTTATTTTCTCATAGTGCAGTCGATCATGTTTTAATTCCAAGGCTCTAGTCCTTTGTAATACTTTGCCTCCAAATCACTTTGTTTCCAAAATTTGAGCACATCTTTGAGTTCCTAATTTGGGTTCAAGGTATGTTGATCTTATAATTTCATGGAAAACTTTGAGCTTTCATCCTCAAAGCTAACAATTTTGTTTTGTTATTATATTCTTGTTAAAATTTATATTCAATAGCATATGTATAGTATGATTCTCCATTGTAAAAATTTTTGGTCACACAATTCATACATGTAAAAATTTGTTTGTCATTTCATGCTCTTGCTATAAATTATAATTTTAGTAAAATTTGACTTTGTAATTTAAATATTTATTTTTGTATATTCTCGTGTTTTAAACTAAAACTCAGAGTTGAAATTGAATTTCTTATTTTCATCTATTTTGTTCAAAGTTTAGTGCACACAATGAATACAAACCTTCTTCAAATGCCTCAAATTTGACTACAACTACAACTTCCTCTTTGAAGAGGAAATCAGATGATGTGGGATGGGACTTTGGAGAACTCTATGATCCGAAAGACTTAAATGCTGTAATATGCAACTTTTTCCAAGAAATATTCAGAGCTGGCATCTATAGAATAAAATGTATTCTTGTTCTTTATGAAACTATTGTTAAGACATGTCAAAAAGTTTCAAATGAAACCAAAAAAAAGGTCTTGGGAAGCTTTGACTAGGGTAAAGATAGACAAAGATCAAAAGTGCAAGAGCTAGCAGAAATAAGAAAAGCAATTGTTAAATTCTTTTAAAAAACAACAAGGCATGGAAATAGATGTTGATAATGTTGATACACTTGTTTTGCCTCCAATTAAGCAACCTAGGAAGCTTAGGTCATTGGGCAAATTCACTTTGAAAAACATGCATGTAAGTAAAATATCTGACAAATACTTAAAGTAATAAAGATTAAATTATTCTATTGCTGAAGAACATATGAATGATTTTCATCCATATGTGGTACAATGGGTTTATCAAGCCAGCATCCCTTTCCATGCCATTGGACATGCAATTTTTATTGCTATGAGGGAGAGATTATTGGCCACCTAGTTGATATCAATTAAGTGTGCCCCTTTTGAAAAAAGAAGTTGACAAGACAAAGAAGTCACTAAAAAACCATGAAGAAGAGTGGAAAGCAATTGGATGTTCATTAATGACGGATGTTTGGACAAATAGGAAACATAGAAGCATTATGAACTTATGTGTAAACCCAAGGCTAGGAACGATTTTTTTTTTCTTCCAAGGAGGAATCCAAGGAGGCACATACTATTGAGTACATAGCCAATTATGTTAATATGGGTATTGATAAGGTTGGAGAAGAAAATTTTGTTCAAGTCATCACTTTTAATGTTGCAAACAATATGGCAATAGCAAGACTTGTTTTAGAAAAAGACCAAAGTTGTTTTGGAGTGATTATGTTGCCCATGCAATCAACTTAATACTCGAAGGAATTAGCAAGATCCCCAGAGTCCAAAACGTTATCACAAGGACTAAGAATCTTACAATTATCATATAAGCACATCAAGGAACATTAGCATTGATGTGTAAGTATACCTTAAAGATAGATATAGTGAGGTCGAGAGTGATGAGGTTTGCAACTACATTTCTCCTTTTGCAAAGCTTGTATTAGAAAAAGAAGAAGTTCACTACTGTAGATAATAAATATTCAGACCAAAAATTTGGTCCGTATAACCCAAAATTCAGTCTGGAAAAACATATCCATATCAATATTGGTCTGTATAGTTGAACCAAAAAAACCTGGTATGAAAAAATAAAATATATAGACTGACAAAAAATCAGTTCATAAATTAAACTATTCACACCGAAACCGGACCATATAATTTGGCAAAAAAATTCAAGGGGCGAGTATAAAATTGAAATTTACGGACCGTTAGCGATCCGGATATTAAGAATATAATAAATAATTTAATAATTACAAAAAATATATTCAGACTGATATAGATCTAAATACATAAATACTTTTTGTAATAGCGAAAAATTTGCTTGGCAATGTGAACTATATTCAGACCGATAACAATCTGAATATATTGGACTTAGATGTAAATTGTGAAATATCTGCTACCATACTGTCATGACATCGAAAATATATTCGAACCGATAACAGTCCATATAAAAGGGACTCAGATGTTAATCTTGAAATATTTGTTGCCATATTGTCATGACCTTGAAAGTATATCCAGATCGATAATGGTCCGTATAAAAAGGACTTAGATGTAAATCTTGAAATATTTGTTGCCATATTGTCGTGACCTCGAAAGTATACCCAGAACATTTTCGGTCTGCATTTAAAGTTAAAACAAATTAAAAAAAAAAGCAATAAAAGAAGAATATTTATTTTTCTTCTTATTTATAGAATATTCCAATATTAAATTTTACTAATGAAATATTAAATATATCTATGAATTTAAATATATGTATATATAGATAAATTAATTTTAGTAATTATTTAATATGGTAACTTTAAACATATATAATATTAATTACATTATATTAA